TCTATGCAAAACTCCTCCAAAATTCTGTTATTAGTCATTTTCTGGAAGTGAAAAATAAGAAGCTCCCTCTTGTGGTAAGGATGGCATTAACATCCTCTCTGGGCTATGGATTTCTCCGGGTTGCGCTGGGACCTCCAGAATTTACAGCAGGTGATAGTCAGCTTAGAATACTCTGTCTGTGCCCTCAATGAACAGGTGGCGACATGGGTTAGGAAGAACAGAAGCAAATAAAATAAATGTGGTCATCATACAAGATATCACAGTCAATCCTGGAAGATAGTTTCGAATAAATAATTGAAATTGAGGGAAATGAGAGAGCCACAGGTGTATTCAACCTGGGCCAGCTGGACTGGTTAAAGGGAAGAGGTATTTACACAATGCTTAGAATTTAGCTGCAGAAATTATTGGATGGGTCAGTGGTGATGGAGTGGGGTTGAGAGTTTCAAATGGATAAACCGGACATGTCCATCACCGGGTACAGAGCACATGATGACAACCATGAACTGTGAAGGTCAGGGAGCTGCTGAAACAGAGGGAAAAGGGGAGAGTTCACTTTTGATTAGTGTGTGCGTGTGTGTGTCTTTGTGTCTGTTTGTTTTGTGACAGAGTCTTACTCTTTCACCCAGGCTGAAGTGCAGTGGCTCAATCTCGGCTCACTACAACCTCCACCTCCCCAGGTTCAAGTGATTCTTGTGCCTCAGCCTCCCAAGCAGCTGGGATTATAGGCATGCACCACCACACCCTGCTAATTTTTGTATTTTTAGTACAGACAGCGTTTCATCATGTTGACCAGGCTGGTCTTGAACTCCTGACTTCAAGTGATCTGCCCACCTTGGCCTCCCAAAGTGCTGGGATTACAGGCATGAGCCACCATGCCCAGCCTGATTAGTTGTTTTACATAATTGTTAAGATGAAAATAAGTTTGTTAGCATGTTAGTTTTCTCAAAGGAATAATTATATCCAGGTTTTAAATTTTTTTCATTTTTATTTTTTGAGACAGAGTCTTGCTCTGTCACCCCGGCTGGAGTGCAGTGGCACAATCTTGGCTCGCTGCAACCTCCACCTCCCGGGTTCAAGCAATCCTCATGCCTCAGCCTCCCTAGTAGCTGGGACTGCAGACATGGGCCACCATGCCTGGCTAATTTTTGTATTTTTAGTAGAAATAAGGGTTCACTATGTTGACCAGACTGGTCTTGAACATCTAGCCTCAAGTGATCTACCCGCCTCAGCCTCCCAAAGTGCTGGGATGACAGGCATGAACCACCACAGCCAACCATTTCCAGGGTTTTTTTTTCATTTTTTTTTTAACCCATGTAAAATACCTTAGAGTTTTCTTCTTCTACTTTATATATAAACATAGGAGAAAACCCAGGAGTCTGCTGGCTTCTTATTCAAACAGTGGGATTAAGGGTCTTTGTCTCATTTAACCAACCAGTGTTGGTAAAAGGCAGGTGAATAACCTTGTAGGGGCCATGGGGAAAGTTCTCCTTTACCCTCTCATGTTGCACTGAAAAATCAACTCACAAAAGACTGATTAACTGGAGAAAAGGCATACACATTTTATTTAATGTATATACACAGGAGCCTTCAGAATGAAGACTCGGAGATATAGGCAAAGTTGTACATTTTTGTGCTTGCGTTTAAACAATGTGTGAACAGCTATGTAGAAATCTGATTGAACAAAAGAAGTTATGATTGAATGCTGATAGACTGAGTGAGGAAACCCAGCAAGACCTGTCTGTCTAGATTTTTCTTGGTCTGAGTAGCATTCCTTCCTTCTAGGTATGAGACAGAATCCTTTTTTTTTTTTTTTTTTTTTTTTTGAGACAGAGTCTTGCTGTGTTGCCAGGCTGGAGTGCAGTGGTGCGATCTTGGCTCACTGCAACCTCCGCCTCAGGTTCAGGTTCAAGCAGTTCCCCTGCCTCAGCCTCCCGAGTGGCTGGGACTATAGGCACGTGCCACCATGCCCAGATAATTTTTTTGAAAGGAATAATTATATCCAGGTTTTAAATTTTTTTCATTTTTATTTTCTATGCAAAACTCCTCCAAAATTCTGTTATTAGTCATTTTCTGGAAGTGAAAAATAAGAAGCTCCCTCTTGTGGTAAGGATGGCATTAACATCCGATGGCTCACACTGTAATCCCCAGTAACTTTGGGAGGCCGAGGCCAGGCGGATCACAAGGTCAGAGAATCAAGACCATCCAATGGCCAA